TAGTAGTCATTGTGCATATAAGCACTCGCTATTTGGCGCTTTCCTAATTAGGTTGTAGAGAGGTCCCATGTTGAGCGGATTCTGCAGGTCGTGTCGTTCTCTGTTTTTGCGATAGACGGAATCCCATGCTAGCTGCAAACTGTTACCCTTGCTTGATGCCATTAAGAGTGACGCTGTGGCTCCTTCTATGCAGGGACTACTAAGGCAGTGGCTGCCAAATACGCTCATACTTACGTCATGCTCCTGACTAGCACTAGGCTCATCAATCAATATACCTGGATGCAAAACTTATGTTCGTTCGTAGTTTAGTTCAGCATTGTCATTGTGCTTGATAGATCAAAAAAATGCCGTCCTCCGTGCCGATGAAGATCGCAAAGATGAAGCAGGTCGGCAAGAAAGCCGTCGCCAAGCAGAAGCCCGGGACTCCGAAATCGAAGGCGGCTGCAAAGGCCACCCCAAAAAAGGTGGTTCGAAAAACGACCAGCAAAAATACAACAAAGGACTCGAAGGCGCATAATCCTGCCAAGCACAAGAAGATCAATAGAGCAGCCCTCAAGTGGTCGCCTGCGTCGTCAGTTATGATTTGGAACCTGTAGCACACTATCCAAGTTATATTGTATAACACCGTCATAGTACTGCGCCCAACAGCTTCTGTGTGTTCTTAGTGGTTATCGGATGTTTTCGCTGATGCGTATAAAATATATTTTGATACTGATTGTCCGATAATTACAGCTCCTTAGCCTCACCACAGGAGAAGGAGCTGCGACATATTTGTCGTATTATATGGAAGTCAGTGTTGAACAAGGGCAATAATTCTTTGCCTAGAGCACCCCCTTTCTGGTTGTAAAAAGACCACTTCGCTCTAAAGCCAACAAAAAGCCGGCGCGCGAGGCCTCCTCGTCGGCAAGCCAAGCACTTGAAACGAAAAGAAAACCGAATTTGGAGCCTGAAGAACAAGCAGAAGATGACGAAGATAAGCCGGAAGGACGTGAAGAAAGCGATCTACTGCCACGGATGAAGCGAAAGTATGTGAAGCGCGTGAAGTATAGCAAAAAGCCCCTGAATGAGTTAGCCCAACATGAGGACAGTGACAAAATGAGGGTGCCCCAAGTAGCGTCACTTCCTTTAGCATCTACCAACTACTTGTCTGAGAGTCTGGGAGGCGCGACGCGTAAACAGGAGAATAAGCTAGGAATTGCATCTGCCGGTGATGAAATAGAGGAACGAGGAACTACAGCGCCAGGAGACCATGAAACCAGAATGGCTAACTTTCGTAAGCAGTATCGGCATCAATTTACCTACGCAGAGAGCGTTTTTGGGGCTGGTGCTGATTTCGAGTTGTTTGAAGGAGCTTTTGGCACAGGGATCTTAGGCCTTCGCCTACGATCTCAGAAAAGTATGACGCCAGAAAGTACCAAGATGATCCTCTTTGTGAACCCCAAGGACGTCAAGTGGAACTATCAGACGATGGGGACGAGGTGCGCTAGCATATTTTTATCCGTTCCTTTTCATGAGGGTAAAGTACTGCTGTAACACTCAATGATAGCTGGAAAATGAAAATGATCAAGGTCTCAATAATGTCACCGCTTGCCACCACCTCTCCATTTACGATCATGAGAATCGCACCCACGTCAAGGTACGGCGATCACTATGACCGGGATGCGCGGACGTTTACTTGGGAAACGCAAAGAAGCGACTTAGGCAACCGCAAGCTGACGCTGATTCGCGATCTCTGCAACGACCGGCTGGCGCAAGTATTGATAGCAACCCGGGCTGGATCGAACGCATCGGAATTCGAGACCATGGCTAAGGCATTAAAAAAACTAAAGCTATCACTTGTTCTGGTTGGCTCTTCACTCGTAGGTAAAAATCCGCGCCACTTTTGAGCAGTACGCGCGCCTTGCGTTTATCTCTGGCACCAAGAAAGATGCACTAAGACACTCACTACTGAATAGTCTCAACAAATTCGGCAAAGTTGTGGAGGGAAATTATTGCAAAATCACTA